GAAAATAAAATTGCAATGGGATAAAAGATAAATGAAAATATAAATTTATATCATAATGTTTTGATTTATATTATCAATTTATATTGTAATGGTAACGTGGGATGATGCGGGTTTTATTTCTGTCGGGGATTATTGTAATACTGACCTCTGAGTCCTCTAAGTGCCTCGAGCAAGCACGACCACTGAAAATACCTTTCTTTATATTTTTTAAAATAAAAATACTTACAGTAACAAGTTTATTTCTATTTTTATGATAATAATAATCACAAATATAATAAAAATAAATTTGAATTATATTTTCTTACAGGTTATGAAATTCTTGTTAAAATAAATACCCACATGCCTAGATTCAATGGAAAATATCAATCCGCGGAAAAACCGCGGATTAAGAAAAAACACTAATAAAATACATTTTTTTAAATATTTTATTTTTATACAATTAACTTAGCTTCGCTGAGCGCTTTATAGAATTGCATTTTTAGATCTAGACTTGAAATATAATTGGAGTATTGTTTTGATTTGCACAGATTCCAAATGACCATTGAAAGTTTTAGTTAAAGTCATTGCAAGTCTCATAAGTCAAGTTTAAATCTGTCTAGCTTCAAGTGCCAACAATTTTTCTGTTATTTAAAATTTTCTAAGTGACATTAATTTTTTATAGAAAATAAATTTAACATGTTTTGTTACGAATTCTATTTAAATAAGTAGCCAAATTTATTTTTCACATATCTAGTGTTTGGAAAATCCATTCATTTTAATCTGTTACATTCCCGAGATCCCGCAATAACAACAATTTATAAGTTATGTAATCAGCAAAAATAACATGTATGTAAAATTGTTAGTCCGTTGACTGAATTACTACATGGAATGTTAAGTTTTGGAAACCTTACAATGACTTTTTTCCCGCTGCTAAACAGACGTTTGTTGTAAGGAAATTTTTAGTAAATGTTATTGAAACTCAATAGACATGGCCTAAATTTCATCTTTCAAAAAGTCCTAGTTTATAAACAACAACATTTTTAGTAGATTTCATAGAAATCTAACTATTTTATTTCATGGAACCAATTATCATAACCAAACACACGATCAGCATATAAATATAAATTTTCAACACTTAGTTCACCAGACATAATTAGCTTCTTTCTTAAACTTTTTTTAAATTACGTTAAATCAATCAAATATTAAGGTTATGTAATAAAAACAAAAGAAAATCGTATTAAAAACAAATGAATGAAAAATGAGAGTCTTTTGTTTTTATTAGCGGGAAAAAATGTATATAAAAGTAAATCGTAAAAAAAATAGAAAGGGTTTTGCTTATATATATGTAAATAAGTTAATAAAAAATTAATTCTAACTGAAAATAGTCATTTTTAA